GTCCTCCACTGCTTTCCCGGGCCACAGGCAGGGAGCTGGATGGGAAGCGGGGCTGCTGGGATTAGAACTGGCACCCATATGGGATCCCGGGCATGCAAGGCGAGGACCTTAACCACTACGCCACCGTGCCAGGCCCGATTTCTGCTTTTTAAAGATTTTAGGTGCCAATGCAGTGACATACCAGGCTAAACCTCCACCCACAGTGCTATCAGTTCATGTCCCAGCTAATCTACTTCCAATTTAGCTCTCTGGGAAGGCAATGGATATAGCTGACTGGGAAGAAACTCCTGGCTTTTTTCTTCTTTTAAGATTTATTTTTACTTTTTTTATTGGAAAGTCAGATACACAGAGAGGAGAAGTTACAGAGAGGAAGACCTTCTGTCCATTGATTCACTCTCCAAGCGGCTGCCATAGCTGGAGCTACACCGATCCAAAGCCAGGAGCCCTGAGCCCCTTCTGGGTCTTCCACACAGGTGCAGGGTCCCAAGGCTTTGGGCCATCTTCCACTGCTTTCCTAGGCCACAAGCAGGGAGCTGGGTTGGAAGCAGGGCTGCCGGAATTAGAATCAGTGTCCATATAAGATCCTGGCACGTGCAAGGTGAGGACTTCTAGCCACTAGGCTACCGGACCAAGCCTTGATCCTGGCTTTGGATCAGCTCAGCTCTGGTCACTATAGCTACTTGAGAAATGAACCAGCAGATAGAAGCTCTCTCTGCCTCTTCCTTTAACTATTTCAAGTAAAGTAAATATGTCATTTCTTAAAAAGAGAATTTGAAAGACAGAGAGAGAGAAGCCTTTTTTCTACTGGGTCCTTTCTGAAGCGGTCGTAACAGCCCTGCTGGCCCAGGCTGCAGTCAGATGCCAGGAACTGCACTCAGACGCCCTCGTGGGCAGCAGGAACTACCTGGGCTGTGCTGCTTTCCCAGGAACACAAGCAGGAAGCCGGATATGAAGAGGAACTGAAACCCACACTCCAACACAGGAGGTGTCTCAAGTAGCGGCTGTAGCCTCTGTGCTACAAGGCCCACCCAAGCCCTGAGCACGCCGCCTGTTTCTGCCTCCTAACTTCCTCTGCCTCTCAAAAATTCGAAAACAACAAAAACCCAGCACCTTTCTCACAGAGATGCAGGCGAATAGGATTCTGTCATCTGCAGTCACACGGCTAAGCCTGGACATTCAGTTGAGACAAGCAGAGCACAGAGAGACAAGGACTGGATGTCCCCACTGCCCAGGAGAGCACGCAGCGGTGGCAGAGGCGGCTGGCGGAGGCTGAGCGGCAGGAGGGGGAGCACGTTAGCGCTCTGCAGCACATTGGGGTGACTACAGCCCCTGTATGGGCCCCAGCTGGAGGCTCTGCCCAGGCTGCCCTGGACCTCAGCACGTGTTACCCTGCTGCCAGAAAGCAGCCAGTAGCTGGCGGGCATTCCGGGCCTGGTTAATGCCAACTCTGCTAACCACCCCGTGTGCCAGCACAGTTACCTATTTTCTTTCTTGTTTGTTTGTTTTTTGAACACACAAATATTTTTATTCTGTGGATACCTATTACAGAACTAATTATTATTATTATTTTTTTAAAGATTTATTTTTATTATTTTTTATTGGAAAGGCGGATATACACAGAGGAGAGACAGAGAGGAAGATCTTCCATCCGATGATTCACTCCCCAAGTGAGCACAACGGGCCGATACTATGCCGATCCGAAGCCAGGAGCCTCTTCCGGGTCTCCCACGCGGGTGCAGGGTCCCAAAGCTTTGGGCCGTCCTCGACTGCTTTCCCAGGCCACAGGCAGGGAGCTGGAAGGGAAGCGGGGCTGCCGGGATTAGAACCGGCGCCCATATGGGATCCCGGGCATGCAAGGCGAGGACTTAACCACTGCGCCACCGCGCCGGGCCCAGAACTAATTATTTTTACAATTCTGATCCTTCATCAGTAACAGACTTCATGAACATTCATATCCTTGGGATTTTTTTTTAAGAACTGACTTCTCTGCATAGAGATACTGCATGGATAAGTATGTTGCTTTTCTTTACAAGGAACAATATTACAAGCACAGAATTTATTGTCTTACATTAAACAAAACTATTTTAAATCATCTCCTCTGAAATATTCAGATAATAATTAACTTTCTGTATTAAGGTGTCAGTGGGGGGAGCCATTGAACACATATATACTAAGATATTCCAAGTGACTATAAAAAGAGTTGATCTTAGCAAAAATACCTCTTTGAAATTCTTACCAACAGTTCCTGGTTTAAGAGATGCTATGGATACTTCTGCTCCAATCAGTCCAAAAAGAACGGGCTGAAAAATATCCCAGGCAACTGCCACAATCTTTTCAACGTCTTCCCTATTCCGCCATCTTGATTCTCCGCAGTTACCTATTTTCTATAGATCCAGGCTAAATGGCACACCAGCTGGGGTCACCCTGCCACCAGCACGATGAGCGCGTTGGTGGAGAGCACATGCTCTGTGGGGGCTGAGGGGGAGGGCCAGGGCGGAATAAGGGCTTGTTTGGCACATATGATTCCTGGGGGCTTCCACAGTTAGGGACACTTCACCCGCAAGTAACCGAGCGAGCTGAGATACGGTGATCAGAAGGGGAACCCGGAGGGCCTCCTTGGGTCAGGCCAATCTGTAATCCCCTCACCTTTGTCATAAATACTAAATTTTTTAAATCCTGTAATAAAAAATTAAATATATATGTGTGTGTGGTGTGTGTGTATATATATATATATATATATATATATATAGTCTACTGCAGAACGAGGATTTTAAATGGTCTCACCATACAGGTAAGTATCTGTGGTGACAGACAAGGTGAGTCATGATTTGGTCATTACAAATGCACACCCATGTCAAAATATCATCTTACCACTCCACAAATATGTATTTATAATATAATGTGTTAATTAAAAACTAAAGAAAAAAATCTTAGTGGGGTTGGCATTGCGGTGCCATGGATTAAGCCACTTGTGACAGCAGCATCCCATACTGCAAGACCTGTCTTCATTTTCTGCCTTTCAATGAAATCAATCTTTTTCTCTAGAAATTCAGCAAACCAAAAGTTTCTTAACATGTTAATTATTAGTACTAATAACAGCTTATTAAACCAGTGGTATTGGGCCCGGCGGTATGGCCTAGCGGCTAAAGTCCTTGCCTTAAATGCGCCAGGATCCCATATGGGTGCCGCTTCTAATCCTGGCAGCTCCACTTCCCATCCAGCTCCCTGCTTGTGGCCTGGGAAAGCAGTTGAGAAAGGCCCAAAGCCTTGGGACCCTGCACTTACATGGGAGACCTGGAAGAAGTTCCTGGTTCCTGGCTTCAGATTGGCATAGCATCGGCCTTTGCGGTTACTTGGGGAGTGAATCACCGGACGGAAGATCTTCCTCTCTGTCTCTCCTCCTCTCTGTATATCTGACTTTCCAATAAATAAATAAATCTTAAAAAATAAAATGGTATTGTTTCTAACCAATTTATTTAAATATGGTCTTTTTGTAAGTTTTTCTTGCCCTTGGGTTAGAATTCATAGGCATTATAACACAATTGCCACCCTCCAGGATGACAGTAATACAACTTCTCTTTTAGATGTCTCTAAATGTTGTGGCTTAGTGAGGCAAGCTGCCACCTCCCTGTCCTTCTCTACAACTGTCTTTCAAATAAATCTCAATTTTTCCATATTAAAAAACAGAACAACAGATCTATCTGGTGGTTCAGTCCTGAATGCTGTAACAGCCAGGAGCCAGGAACTCCACCTGGGTTTCTCACACGAGTGGCGTGGCGGGAACTCAAGTACTCAGGGCCACTACGAATTCACAGGAAGCTGCACTGGAAGAGCAGGTGAGACTCGAACCAGACCCTCACTGAAGCAGCAAGTGTCACAAAGAGCAGCTGAACCCACTCAGTCACAATGTCTAACTCCCTCTGCACCTTCTTGATTTACTGGAAAGGCTGTTACTCGGAGAGGGAGACAGCAACCTTCCACTGTCCGATTCACTCCCCAGGTGGCTGCAACAGCCAGGGGCTTCATCCAGGCTCCCATGCGGATGTGGGGATCCAAGGCCCTGGGCTATCCTCTGATGCTTCCTGGTGCATTAGGAGAGCTGGGTGATAAATGGAGCAGCCAGGACTAGAATCAGTGCCTCCTGACCTGGGATACTCACAAAGGCTCCTCGATGTGGAACTGTCCAGCCGTGGTCGCTGCGGCCATTTGGAGAGTGAACCAGTGGATCAAAGACCTGGAAGATGTCTCTGTCTCTGTCTCCTAACTCTGCCTTTCAAATAAAAACAAATACATCTTACCTTTTTTTTTTGAAAAGCAGAATAAGAGAGGACGAGATCTGCCTGCAGGTTCACTCCCCAGATGGCTTCCACTGCCAGGTCTGAGCCGGGAGCTAGCTCCCAGATTCCCATAAGGGTGGCAACCAAGCACTTGGGCCCCTGCCTGCCGTCTATTCAGACGTACTACACTGCAGCTACTTAAATGAGTTAACATATTCAATATCCCTCACTCACAGTTAAGTCTTCACAAAACATTAATATCATTCGCTAGATTTTTTTTTTTTCTGGTACAAGCAGAGGCAATTTTTAAAACTTAAAAAGTAAACTGCAAGCCCGGGGCAATGACCTAGCGGCTAGTGTCCTTGTCTTGAATGCATCAGGATCCCATATGGGTGCTGGTTCTAATCCCGGAAGCTCCGCTTCCCATCCAGCTCCCTGCTTGTGGCCTGGGAAAGCAGTTGAGGACGGCCCAAAGCCTTGGGACTCTGCACTCGTGTGGGAGACCTGGAGGAGGTTCCTAGCTCCTGGATTTGGATCAGCGCAGCACCGGCCATTGCGGTTACTTGGGGGGGGGGGGGTGAATCATCAGACGGAAGATCTTTCCGTCTCTTGTCCTCTCTGTATATCTGATTTTGCAATAAAAATAAATTAACTGAAAAAAAAAAAGTAAACTGCAATTTCATTAAGGCATAATTAAAAAAAAAAAAATCAGAACCACCAGGGTGCCAGGTTGGTACAATCCTTTATTTTTACACACTGTGACAAAGGGGTTTGCAGTGGCGACGTGTCCCAGAAGCTCAGGGCCGAGGCTCCTCGGTGCCCAGGTGCTGGGCTGGAGGGGTGTACTTTCCTTCCTTTATCAGCTTATCCCGCTGCTGCCTGATGGCATGCATCCGTTTTATCTGTCAAGCAAAAGGCAGTTGGTCAGGGGAGCACCCGGCCCACAGTGAGGCCTCAGCGGGACGGCGGGCCAGGCTGGGTTTCATCTTCAACCCGGGGGCAGCTTGTCCTCCTGCAGGACCTGAGCTGTGGCCCACCTCTCCAAGCTTGTAACAAACACATTTCTAGCACACAGGGTAGCAATACCTCCTTGCAGCCTAAGAAACAAACGTCTTTAACATGTCCAGGGCAGACCCAGTCCCTTGATCCATGAATTCTGCATTCATGGAAACAACCAGTCAAGCCCCAACGATCCTGGGGATAGTCTGGGGGCGCTGAGCAGGCACTCCTGCTCCTGGTCATGACCCTCTACGCACTGCAGCAGGATGCCTGCTCACCTACTATGCACATCTCAAGACAACCCAGAGCTGACCACACACACTCTACCACTGCAGAAGAAACTGGCGCACCCCTGGGTGTCGATGTCCTTGGGGTGCGTCCTGCAACCAGTACTCCACAGACATCGTTATGACTGCATCTATAAGAACCTTTGTGAAATATTCTTGTGCACATGAAAGCCTTTATTTTTATTTTTTACTTTTATTGGAAAGGCAGATATACAGAGAGGAGGAGAGATGGAGAGGAACATGTTCCATCCACTGGAAATTTCCCAAGTGGCCGCAATGGCCGGAGCTGAGCCAATTCGAAACAAGGAACCAGGAGCCTCTAGCTGGGTCTCCCACACAGGTGACAGGTCCCAGGGCTTTGGGCCATCCTTGACTGCTTTCCCAGGCCACAGGCAGGGAGCAGGATGGGAAGCAGAACTGCAGGGATTAAAACCGGCACCCATATGGGATCCCAGCGCATACAAAGCGAGGACTTTAGCGGCTATGCTATTGCACCGGGATCATGAAAGCCTTTTAAGATAACAAAGACAGGGCCTGGCACAGTAGCCCAGCCGCTAAAGTCCTCGCCTTGCATGCTCCAGGATCCCCACATGCGCACCAGAACATATTCCAGCTGCTCCACTTGCCGTCCCCATCTCTCCAACAGGCTACATAAAAGCCAGGCTAAACAAAACTGTCAAAGCCACCGAGCAAACTGCCCCCTTGATCCCGTGACATAAACTGACTAATCCAATGGCATCCCAGCACAATGAGAGAAAAGGACAAATCCCCCACGGGGCTTACAGGGCTCCTCTGAGCTCATCTCGGAACCCTTTCCTGGCCCGCTCCCTTCCAGCTCAGGAACCCCTGCCCGGCTGCTTCCACTCTTTCATCCATGGGGCTCGCTGCTGCTGTTTCTTTATTTATTTATTTATTTATTTTGTATAACACAGTTCCATAGGCTCTGGGATTTCCTGTCTCCCTCATCAAGTGCCCTCCTGCCCCAAGATTTCCCCATGTACTACAATGGGTGCTTGCTTGCTTCTAGCAGGCTGCTCACACAGCTTCCTGTGTTATCTCTGTCTGATTTAAGGAGAATCCACTCAGATCCAGTCCTAGCACTATTTAACTGATTCATTTTTCCTGTTGTGTTTATCATGGATTGTGACGCTACATTTTCATGTTTGTTAATTTTTTAAGATTCATTTTTTATTGGAAAGGGAAATTTATAGACAGAAGGAGAAAGATCTTCCATCCACTGGTTCACTCCCCACGTGGCCGCAATGCCCGGAGCTGAGCCAATCAGAAATTAGGAACCAGGAGCCTTTTCCGGGTCTCCTATGGGTCCCAAGGCTTTGGGTCATCCTCTACTGCTTTCCCAGGTCACAGCTATGGGAAGTAAAGCAGCCGGGACAACGAACCAGTGCCCATATGGGATCCCAGTGCATGCACTTCCCATCCAGCTCCCTGCTTGTGGCCTAGGAAAGCAGTCGAGGACGGCCCAAAGCTTTCGGACTCTGCATCCATGTGGGGGACCCAGAGGAAGTTCCTGGCTTCAGATCTGATCCATTCTGGCTACTGTGGTCGCTGCAGGAATGGCTCAGCTGATGGAAGATCGATGTCACTGCAATTTTCAAATAAATCAACCTTTAAGCAAAAAAGCAAGAGATGTGCTGTGAGCTAGATGGCTGAAAGTTGGCCAGATATATAATCCACTCAGAGTCCCTCAGTGACACCTCTTGCAGAAGTCAATGCCAAGCCAGTACGTGCTGTTACCACAGGCCTTCCACATTTGGCTGACTTTAATCAAATACCAACAGCAAATATTAAACAGTATCTTTAAAACTTCTGATCCACAAAACTTCGTTAGAAATTTAACTGGTGGTTGGCACAATGGCTTAATTGGCTAATCTACTTCCAAGCACGGGCATCTCCTATGGGTGCCACCCACTTCCAATCCAGCTCCCTGCTTGTGGTCTGGGAAAGCAGTGGAGGCTGGCTTAAGTCCTTGGACCCCTGTATCCAGGAGGGAGGCAGGGAAGAGGCTCCTGGCTTCAGACTGGCTCAGCTCCAGCCACTGTGGCCACTTGTGGAGACAATCATCAGGGGGTAGATCTTTCTCTCTGTAAATCTGTCTTTCCAATAAAAATAAATTAAAAAAAAAAATTTAAAAAGGAGTAGCCTCAAAGAAACAAGGAGATAATTCCGCTCCCACATACACCATCTCCATACCGTTTTCTGCCGAAGCATACATTCCACGAGATCGTCATATTCGATCTTGCATTCCTTCTGTGCCCGGACACTTCCAATCCCATGGGCACACTCGATCCATTCCTTCTCAAAAGCGTGGCATCGAGACGGGATCTTGAAGGGCTGCTCCGCACTTTGGATTGTCAACCCTCGATCCAAGTTAAGGCCAAACCTCTTCTGCACGTCGAAGAAAGGCATGGCTGCACAGGGAGATGAAAACATCGTTAACGAGGCCACAGCACAGCAGCGGATCACAGGAGATCGCTTTGCACGCGCCCCGCGGCGCCGCAAGGCTGCTGCACACCACTGACCGTGTCCTCTCACTCAACTTTCCCACTCGGCACATTCGTCTAGTTCAAGGTAGATGAGCGACATCTCTGCTTTCCTAAGACTCAGGGAAAAGAGAATGAAAACTACACAAAGCACAAAACCCTCATCACGCCATTCTGTCAAAAGCTGAAAAAAAAAAAAAGTTGGACTAAATCATCACAACTCTTTGAAATCAACCTGGACAAATGACAAAAGAAAAAAGAAAGAAAACCACCTAGACACAAAACAGTCCCTTGCCTATTTCTACTCATTCTTTCTGGATCAAGCTGGCTGGTGGCTCTCCCGAGACGCCCCTCCGCACCCCGTGCTCCCCCAGCATCCCCAAACTCCAACCCGACTAGTCAGTCCCTTGGAGGTCTTGCCTAGAGGACCCGAGCGCGCTAACTGGCGAGACATGGAATCTTTAGCAACCAGAATGCGCAGCAATGAAAACAGGGTCCTCTTAAGCGTGTGACAGATGTGGGAAAACAGCCTAACATACACGGCAGGTGCATCATGATGCCGAATAGATAGACAACGACGGGGAGGGAGCTGCTCATATAGACAGAACACAGATCCACACGATCGCCAGGGCGCGGGGATGGACACCTAACTTCTGCAGTTGCCTCCCATTCTTTCAGGCACCTGCTGAGTAGTAAAGCTCCAGATGTTGAGATGGACGGAAGCACCCGCTCTGACCACACACACACACACACACACACACGGAACCCTCCAGAAGGAGGACAGTGGACTTTAAGCGGGGTCGCTGGTGCTGGGCAGAACCGGGCCAAAGAGCGCGGCCCTGAGCTGGAAAAGCACAAGCCGAGCGAAGCCGGGACGGGCGCCGGGAGCGCCGCGGGCTCCGAGGACACGAAGTGGGTGGAGGGGCCTAGCAAAGCAGCCGACCTGCCTCGGACTGCGGCTCCCTGGGGGAACCGGGCACCACGCCGGCCGAGAGCACACTCCGCAGGGAGACCTCCGCAGGAAGCGTCTCGGCCAGGGAGCCGGACGGACGAAGCAGGGCCTACCGTGCCGCCGCAGCAATGCCCTTGTCTCCGCACGACCGCCGGCCAGCGACGCCGACGCCTGCCGCAAAGCACGCCGCAGCGCGACGACGGCAGCGCGACGCCGGCAGCCCCGCCCCGGAAACCATAGAAACCGCGCCCTCTGCAGGCCCTCACTGGTAACAGCGCCCTTCGTCCGGGAGTTCCCGCTGCCTCCTCGCACTGTCCCTGGAAGTGTCAGGAAGGCTGTGCTTGGTCAGGGAAGAAAAGAGAAGGGGAACAAAGGAGAGGGGAGAAGGAAAGGGGAGACTTAAAAAAAGGTTTTGCCTTTAAAAATTTTTTTATTGATTTGAAACGCAGAGTTACAGAGAGGGAGGAAACGAGAGATTGTCCATCCGCTGGTTCACTCCCAGATGGCCACAGCAGCCCGCGCTGAGCTGATCTGAAGCCAGAAATTTCTTCTGGGACTCTCATGTGGTTGCAAGGGCCCAAAGACCCAGCCCCTTTTGGGGGGAAGTGGAGCAGCTGGGACTCACACTGATGCTCATATGTAATGCTGTCACCACAGGCAGAAAAGCTTAACATACTACATACACCAGGGACCCAGCCCCCCGCCCCAAGTTTTTTTGTTTTGTTTGCGTAGTAATAGGGATGCGCAGCCATGAGGACCACTGATTAGGGTGGAGAGGGTCAAGGCATGGGGGGAAGGTGGGTGGGTGGGACAAATGCTTCCTATTTTCCTTTTCTTCCCTTTTCTTCTATATCTGAGGGGTGTCCCCAGGACGGGGGATGAGAGAGAGGGCACTCCCCAACTACTAAACATCAGTACCTGGGGATGGGGGATGTCTGCTTGATATCTTAGGAACCCTGATGTTCTGAAGGTATGGAGTGCTTTTGCCGGTGCTGAGATGCTGTTGGTTTCGCTGCTCCAGGCTGAGAAAATCCTCCCAAGGTCCATTGGCTGACAGAGTGTACCGCAGTGCACCTGCGCACCCAGACACTTGCTGCCAGAGTTCAGCCATGAGAGTTGTCCAAACCAGATCTGTTCTCCATTTCCTGGCACAGTACTCAGTGTCCTCTGCAGGCCCAAATGAGCCAGTCTTCTTGTCCCCCATACACACCTGGACATGCTGTCCATTGCACAGGCGTAAGCAATCAAGGAGACCGGGTCCTGACACATGTATTCCAAGGTCAGATCCAAATCCTATGGTCCTCCCTGTGGCTGGAGTTTTGAATCCAGCAGCCTAGTTTGGGAGTCCCCCAAGAAACCTCAGCTGGTGTGTCCGCAGCCCTGATTCTTGCATATGCTAACCAGTACAGGGTCTGGTTCAGTGTGTCACCAATATTAGACTATGCACACAATAGGGAGACTGCTGAAGCAGAAATGCTGGCCACAGCCCTGCCCAAGGATGGCGGATCCCATGGACTGTGAGCACAAACCATGTGGGGACAAGCTACTTCCATGTGAATCTGCGAAAGCCTCAGTATCCTTACCAGTTAAAACATTCGTAATACCTACAGCATAAAATTGGTTTACAGATGAAAGCACTGAAGCCATGGCTTGCACAGTGAAAAGACGAAGCGGTCGCTGTCCTTTGCTGAACTTCTACAATTGCCCCTCTATTCTAGAACCTTCAGTGGCTTCCTTTGACTATGTCAGAGCCTCCTGAATGGTGCAGGGAGGGGAATGCAGAGGGTGACATATGATACACTGGGAGAATGGGAAGAAAATACTAGAGCATTTATATCTTAGAATTTCAACTTTCGGGCCTGGTGCAGTGACCTAGCAGCTGAAGTCCTCATGTTGAACAAGCCAGGATCCCATGTGGGTGCCAGTTCTGTTGTGCCCAGATTTTGAGATTCCCAGAAATCACCAGGAGTCTGAAGTTGATCCAAGAGCACAAGGATGGTTTATTCAAGCTCAGCACATCCGAGCCTGGGCTCTTGGTTGAGATCAGGTAGCAGCTGGCCGGCCGGGACTAACAGCCCTTACTGGAGTGTGGCCCTGAACAGCGCATTCTTAGTCTTTTTATAGGGGCAGTCCACATAGCTTGAAAAGGGGCAATTCATAATATCCTGCAAGGTGAGGGGAAATACCACACATTTCCTACCTGTCTTGCCAGGACAGCCCTTGCCTCCAGCAACTAAGGGAAGCACCCACAGCTTAGGTGGGCTTTGATTAGTAAGAATTGGGCCCCATCAGTGCTAAAGGTCACATAGGCTGCTAAAGGTCACATAGGCTGTTTGGCCTGCAAGTTCACACGGTTTCTTGGTTGCTACGAGCCATGAACAAATGGTTGCAATTTTGATACTGAGTTTCTTCAGTTAAAATCCTCCCAGCAGCCCCACTTCCCATCCAACTCCCTGCTTGTGGCCTGGGAAAGCAGTCGAGGACAGCCCAAAGCCTTGGGACCCTCACCCACATGGGAGACCTGGAGGAAGTTCCTGGCTCCTGGCTTTGGATCAGCACAGCACCGGCCTTTGCGGTCACTTGGGGAGTGAATCATCCTTCCTCTCTGTCTCTCCTCCTTTCTGTATACCTGACTTTGCAATAAAAACAAAATAAATTTAAAAAAAAAAAGAATTTTGACTTTCCAGCCAGTATATTCTGAAGAGATTTCATCGTATTTGGAATGGCAAAATTGGCAGCAATTCAGAACAGTTGAACTATCGAAACCACTTGAGCAGCGCCCTCAGAGCATGCCCCACATCGGGGACCCTGGGATGGTTGGAAAGCTGGATTTGGCTTCTCCCTTTGTCTTTCCCCTTCCCCAGAAACAGGAAGGAAAAAAGAGAATGTGGAAGGAAGCAATGGTCTTACCCACTTTCCTGTAACCCTTGACCCTTTGCACTCTAATCAACTATGAAAAGTGATGGCTGCCCCGGGCCCTGGAGGCGAGGGGCTGGTCTGCTCCAGACCCGGCATGTCGCCCGGGCTCCGACCCGGAACAGGAAGGGGCCACAGGAGCCAGTTACGTATTCAGCCTGGCAGGATTCCAGCTGACCAACGGCACCCCTGAACAGACATTCCTTACATAATTGGGGCATAGACAGCCCCTTGCCAGCCGACGTGTCTAGAGGAGTATAAAATTCAGCTGCCCCTCTTAGCTTCCTCCTTCCCTCTGCTCTGCGCGAAGGGAGCCCAGGAGCGGATTTTCCAAAAAAGCTCCCGTTATAACTATGGACAACTTGCAAATATTACTCTACTAGCGGGCAGGTGGTTGGCAGTCACCATCTAACAAAAAGATCAAAATATAAAAAAAATATTTTTTTAAAGAATTTCAATCTTCATTGTATAAGTATTTATAAATGCATAATGTCACTGCAGTTGCACATACAAATAACTTATGAGTGAATAAATATTTGGGGTTTGGACTGATTTTTTTTCTTTTTGAATATGAGCATCAAAACTTTTTCCTTTTTTTTGAAAAGTCCAGCCCGGCCTTCCTGTCTTTCTGACCTCATTGTCCAATATCCCCTGCCTGATGTTCCTACCAAGAGCTTCCAGTTCCACAATATTCCAGGAGACATTTCATGCCCAGTCTCTCTCTTTTAATTCCTTTCACCTGGGATGACAGCTTGCACCCCAGCCCTATTTTCATGTGCCAAACTCCTGCTCTGCTTTCAGTTTTTTAGATGGTTTCTCCACCAAGTGGGTTGGCTGTCCCTAAGCCCATCACCTGCTCTGGAAATGTTCCTGAGGTCCTAAAACTTACTGCTTTCATTCAAACACTCCAGTTCTTCTAAAGCCTGCTGTTATCAGTTGCTTATGTACTACGACCTGAGATTGGAGTTGGAATTCTGCTAGAATTTTCCTGAGCATCTAATGTCTAGCAAATATTGTAGGGTTAGGTTCTTCATAACTCCTGAGCACCAGGTAGTAGTGGCAAAGTACTAATCACCACGCTTTCTTAAAGATCATCCTTCCTGTTCTTAATGGTGTCATCTTCCCAGCTAGCCAGGCAGGAAATCCTGGGATTAGAATTCACTTTGGGGCCCAGCGAGGTGGCGCAGTGGTTAAGGTCCTCTCCTTGCATGCAAGGGATCCCACATGGGCGCCGCTTCTAATCCCGGCGGCCCCGCTTCCCATCCAGCTCCCTGCTTGTGGCCCGGGAAAAGTCGAGGACGGCCCAAAGCTTTGGGACCCTGCACCCGCATAGGATACCCAGGAAGTTCCTGGATCCTGGCTTTGGATCGGCATAGCATCAGCCGTTGCGCTCACTTGGGGAGTGAATCATCAGATGGAAGATCTTCCTCTCTGTATATCTGCCTTTCCAATAAAAATAAAATAAATCTTAAAAAAAAGAATCCACTTTGTCCTTTTCTTTCATCCACTAATTATTCACTTTTTAAAAAAGATTTATTTTTATTATTTTTTTTTTATTGGAAAGGCGGATATACAGAGAGGAGAGACAGAGAAGAAGATCTTCCGTCCGATGATTCACTCCCCAAGTGAGCGCAACGGCCGATACTATGCCAATCCGAAGCCAGGAGCCTCTTCCGGGTCTCCCACGCGGGTGCAGGGTCCCAAAGCTTTGGGCCGTCCTTGACTGCTTTCCCAGGCCACAGGCAGGGAGCTGGAAGGGAAGCGGGGCTGCAAGGATAGAACCGGCGCCCATATGGGAACCCCGGGCGTGCAAGGCGAGGACCTTAACCACTGCGCCACCGCGCTGGGCCCTAATTATTCACTTTTAATCCACTAATTATGGCCCTAATTCTGTTGAATGGGTCCTTCAACAAGTTTCTGTTTGACGTCTTCCCACGTTCCAGCTCCTCGTTTCATCCACTTGCATGATTAGACATCCTATCATACACACGTGCCAGCAGCATTCCCCAGACACCTCCCACTGCACCAGCACGAAGCGTGCACCGTGGACGCCTCCGGGCCCAGCAGGACTCCCTCTAAGGAAATTATAACAAATGCATCTAGACAAGTGACAAATGACACTTGATTTCAGGAACAGGGATGGTGGGAGTGGTGGGAAATTAAAAATGAAAGG